GAATGAAATCCTTGACTATCATTTCAAAAAAGGGCAGGGGCAAAAATGAGACACAAGTCTCTTGGCTGCCAACCCTTCCTTCTTTCCACCCCATCACATTTAAACGAAGGCAAATTTTGTTCATGATGATATTTAGAAACTTAAATACTTGAGTCTTTAACGTGCAGATTGTATATGATTATGGTAAACGGACAGAGGAAGTATGCACTCTCTTGTCAGCCAGCACATTATCAAGATGTTTATGAGTGGAATCCTTAATAAACAAGTTAATATAAAATAAGTTGCTAATTATAAACAAGGTCAATAAACCCGATAGGTAAAAACAAGTGTGAAAGTTGAACCACGAAATGAACTTGAAACTTAGCCTCGGTGTGAGAAGGGATTGATGATTCCCACTCGCACTGGAAAACGGAAATTGATTGACTTTTTCATGTAAAGGGGGGAAATGCAGGACTAGAAGTGGACAAAGCTCTAGAGACTGTTATGCTGCCGGAAGCCTGGGTTTCCACTGCGGAAACGCTACAGACTCTGGCAAAAGTAGAGGGAAACGCATCGTGAATTAGTGAAGTGGTGCCGCCATTCCCGAAGTAGCTGGGATGGTCTGACCATAAAACATTCACATGACTTTTCTGAGTTTTGACAGATCGTTTGGAAGAGAAAGGGTAAAAATACACAAGCCCTTTGGTGGGAATGGAGGCATTTGTTCCGATTAAAAAAGAACAAACAAGCACTATGGCTGGTCTGTACACCAGCTCTCACTGAAAACAAGAAAACATGAAAAGGTAAAGCCCAGCGCTGAAATGAATTAAACTTGATTGTTCGCTAGAATAGGAACAGGCAGGATTAGAAGCACCTAGTGCTTTTTATCTCCCTTTACTTTCTCAAGAAAGAAAGATGCCCCGTCACCTAACCTATGCTCAGTATGGAATGCATGCCTCTAGCAAACAGTTGAGCTGCATGTCCTTTGTACATAGTGGTTTAACATGCTTATCCATCGTGAGTAGAAGGGAATAAAGGATAAAAAGTATTAGTTTCCTCAGCTGGTAAAAAATGATCATTCCTTTTCCTAATAAGGATTTTCCCTAGCACTGGCTTGTAGGCAGGGTCAGTGTTGCTGGCATGGGAGCCATCATAAAGGATTCTGGCAAAGGACCACCTGCCAGAGAACGTCTTCCACCAAATGATCACCCCTAGAAGCCAGAATCATGTCTCTGGATGTAGGCACTGAAGTTCTAAAAAGTCCCCATCTTTAATGATAGCATATTGGTTGTGGTAAACATACCACAATGCTCTGAGTGCGAATTCAGGGGTCCCTAGGCCCATTCTCATATAACTATATACAAACCCAACCACGTTATACTTTCTTAAAGAAAAGTTTTATTAATGCTAGAATAGCTTTCTCTAGAATAATGCCTATAAAATACAAAATGGGGGCATTTGTTGAAAAAAAAAAACTTCAAGACATGCTGAAACAATTTTGCAGACAAATATTTTGCCACAACGGCATAAAAATGAGCAACAAGGCATAATACGATTCTTCAAATTCTTCGTGTAGAAATATGAAAGGTAAGCCAAAGGAGGAAGCAAATTACAAATAAGTGGATTAGTAACAGATATGATACTAAATGCTAACATTCTACAGAGAACATTTTAATTTTCTTTTTTGAAGTTTTTTACAAGCTCATTTAGTTAAAAAAAAAACCATAAAATTGATCAACTCAATTAGATTCATGGCTCCTCCATTTTAGTACACTTTTCTGAGAGTGACATCAAGATAGATTCATGGGAGATATGATTGTTACATAGAAATCAACTTCAAAAATGTCACTGATATTGACTTCAAATAGCTTTGCCTTCCTTAAATTACTTATTAAGAATCCAAAATTATTTAACTTACTTAGACTTGACGTGGACTTACTTATTTTTCATGTTTTCTCTTCTCTTTCATAAGGATACATAAATAGAATTGCTTACAAATTACAGATACAAATAGACCATGGTTTTCATTCAGGATTGTTTTCTATGTCATTTCTAGCTACAAGGAGGACTTTCTGGAGGATTGAATGAACTTTTCTTGTCACATCCCCACTTCCTTTAGGAGGTTAGTGGTTTGACCTCTCGGCTTCTCCTGACCCTTATCCTTTCTTCTAGAGGAGCCAGAGGAGCCAACTCTGAGAGAAATGGTGCTTCCAGCTCACAGCAGCCACCAGAGGGATATTCCCAAGAAGCAGAAGAAATCGGTCAAGGACCAGCCTCTTCAGGTGCTCGTCTATTCCCACCTCCACTAGATTATTTCACTCCTCTTCTCCTCCTGTTTTAAATCGCTGTACAGCAAGCATGTCAAACTCAAAGGCTAGCAGGGGTCAAATAAACGAGGCATGCGGCCTGCGGGCCATGAGTTTGACATGCTTGCTGTACAGGAAGCAGTCATAAATAGGGAGGAAAGTGGCCTTATATGGGTTCCTAGTAAGGGAACTAGATTTCCCCCCTCGGAGAAACAAGATAACACAATGATTAAAGCCATAGACTAAGAGTCTGGGGCCTGTAGAGCTGATAGTCCGCTCTACACCTGCCAACCTGCAAGTCACTCAACCTCCCTGAGGAAAGAGTTTAGCTCTAAAGTAGGACAAGTTATTTCAATGAGCAAATAACTTGTGTTAAAAACTCTTTTAACAGAATATATTGTTAAAGCATTTTGACAAATTAGCAATAATGAAATGATAAGTCAAATAGCGGCTTTTGAATATGTTACATCTTAGCAATTGTATAAGGTCTTTGAGGTTAGTAATACAACAAAAGATAAAACAGAATGTTACCATAATTATAATCTTAGAAAAACTAAAGTAAATGTTCTTGAAAAGTAATATGTTTCTCTTAAGTTTTCTGTGTAGAAGGAAGATAGATAACAGAAGATGGTAGCGTGTGAAGTAAAACCAACTTTGTGGGTTTTATATTTGTTTTTCCTTCTTTGTATGAGAAGTTCAAGAAATGATGGCTACAGTATTACTGCAGACTTTATAAGCATGATCCCTTAGGTAAAATGTGGAGGAAATAACATACATAATGGGAAAACAGCCAAAATTGGTTAAATTACATTTTTGGCGGCTCATTAATACAGTACCCTGTGTGCACCGTGTTGGAGCTTCTCTTATAATGTAAAAAAAAAAAAAAGCATTCACCTTGAGTGTTTAACTATCATGACACACCTTAGAATGCTAGCGATCAGTACACACACTTTTGCCAAAGAATGAACATATGCAAGGCTGTGTTTATTGTATTCACAATTCTTCACATCAAAGGAGTGCCTGTGTGAGCCCAGCGGAGCAGTGTGAGAGACAGCATCCCACTGTGAGCTGACAGCAGTTTGGATCCTTCTATTTTAGGGATGGTGTGCCCCAGTTGGTATCGGAAGGGACCCTCATTGTTGTGGCTTGTTCCTGCCTCCAGGACAGCCACTTCCACACCCCCCACTGTTGGGCTCTCCATCCTGCAAGGAGCCATCTGGAACGGAAAGGCCAGCCCCAACTCCCTCTGGAAGTTGTTAGCTCTGTCCCACAGTTGGCATCCAGGGGTTCTGGGGAGTTGACCTCTTCACAGTCTTTCTTTTCATGTCAAGAAGTTGATTGTACCCTTTTCACTACCCTGTCAGCTTCTACCAGGTCTCCAAATTATAGAACAAATCTCTAAAGCAGACCTGGGCTTCCCATGGGAAATGCAGGCTGCTACCCTGAGATTCCTTCTTAACAAGCACAAGGACCTTGGGGCTTAATTTAAAAGGGGAAAAACCTACCTTGTTTCCTCAGTGCAGCTTTTAAAAATAAAATAGGTAGAAAGAGAATGAATAATAGAACAAGCCAAATAAAGCTCTCAGTACAGTAGTCCATGATCATGAGCTAGTGAGTTAGAAAGGCTTGTGTGTTGCGTTATTGACTAGCTATGTGTTCTCTGGGAAGTTATTTACTGAATCTCACTGCTCCTCAGCTTTGCGTCTGTAAAAGGGGTGTGTGTGTGTGTGTGTGTGTGTCTGTGTGTGTGTCTATTAAAAGATTCATAGAAGCTAGTTAACAGATAAAACTATCATTTATTGATATAAATATAAAAGACTATTGGTAATCCTCTACCTCATTTGTTCACAAAAAGAACTTAATTAATGTCCCTACTCAGTAGCAAGCACCTGAATGAAGTCCTGGAGAGAAAAGGCAAACAAGAAGACCCTCCTTCCTCTCAGGGATTCTTTCTATAGGGGTGAAATGAGGCTAGAACAGCCCTAAGTCAGGTTTTAACATGTTACTGAACTCAAGATTGTAAAGATCACACACGACTGTGAGTTTACCCCTTACAATTACACTGTGCTTAGATTCCTTCTCTATACTATCTTACTGAAGCAAATAAAAGTTCCCCCTCCCCATAAGAAGACGGCTCTATATAATTGTCCTTTGAGAAAGTCCAGGCATCAACAAAATGATAGTTGCTTCCTGATTGCAAGGCCCTTTTTAAATGTATGTGATCACACCCTCGGCATATGGCCTTTTTCAAGTTTACTCACTTCAAGTCCACCTTCCCTACGCTTTGTATCCTGAGTTCTCCTCTCCTTTTCCTGAGTGATGCGCCTCCCTGCACTGCTAACCAGCAGGCAATGGGAAGTATCTTAAGTCGCGCTTGTATGAAAGAAAACCTGCAGTTTTGATGAGCCAGGGAACTCAGATGCAATGGTCTCCACCCTCCGTTTTCCCTGGAATGTGGTTCTTTTAAAAGACTAAGTTCTACAGTAGCCCCCCTCCTCCCCACTTATCCACAGGGGATTTTTTCCAAGACTCCTGGTGGATGTCTGAAACCTCAGATAGTAACAAACCCTTTACACACTATGCTTTTTCCTATACCATACATACCTATGATGAAGTTTAATTTAGAAATTAGGCACAGTAAGAGATTAACAACAATGACTAATAATAAAATAAAACAATTACAACAATATATTGATCTTATGATACTGTACTCACTCTTGGTCCTGTGATGCTGTGAGATGAAACACCTATGTGAAGAGATCAATGACAGGCTTTAGGACATAGTAGTATTAGGCTACTATGGACTTTATGACACATAAAAAGCACTTTACTGCTTCTCTTTGGCAAATTTGAACTGCCAGCATCACTACTCTTGCGCTTTGGGGCTACTATCAAGTAAAATAAGGGTGACTTGACACAAGCACTAAGAGACCACGACAGTACAGTAGATCTGATAACCAAGCTGGTAATGAATGGGCAGGAACTTTTGCAGCGTGGATACGCTGACTCAAGTCCTAGGTTGGGCCAGGGAAATCCCGAGACCACGAGATTTTATCACACTATTCAGAATGGCACATAATTTAGAACCTATGAATTGTTTATTTCCGGCAGTTTCTATTTAATATTTTCAGTTTTGGGTTGATTGTGGGTAACAGAAACAATGGAAAGTGAAATTGCAAATGGGCAGGGGAGGGACAATGGTATTTTAAATTAAATGTTTTTTCCTTATGTATATAGACTCTTAAGTCTGCATTCCCTTTTATTCTCCACAGCGATGTGCCATAGTCATGCAGCCAGCCTGGGCTGGAATGTTTAAGGCCCATTCCCTCTTCAGATCAGGCAGCCTGCTGGAAACATCTGATACTGAGCTCAGGGTTGCAGTGCTGCTCTGACCTCAATGCTGCCACCTAGAGGATATGCTTGATGTTCCTCACAACATCTACTTCTCACGCCTGAGTCTCTGCTCTGCTCCTGCCCTCCCTCACTTTGGATTAGTCCTTCTTTCCCCCCATTCTTTTCCCTTCTTTATTTTCAAATTGAGCTCAGATATGCCATTCTCCAGGAAAAAGCTATGGTCACTCAAATCTACACATACACCTTCATCCCAGGTTTGTTCAGCACTCTCCAAACTTCCTATTTTGGTCTCTAGTCTTGTGACCGTTCCATTATATTATGATTATCTCTGTGCCTGACACCCTGAGTTAAAACTGTGAACGTCTTGAAAGTTTAAGACTTGTCTAATTCTACTTGATAATCCCAGTACCTGCTACAAAATAATCTTTTTAAAATACCAGTTGAAAGAACAAACTTTTTTTCCTTTCTTGCATCTGTCATTCATTCATTCATTCATTCTACTTTGATCACAGAGAACTGAAACAGAGCTAATTCCTTTGACATAAGAGTCATTAGTACATTTGATGAGATATCAGTTCATGTCATATCATTCGTGTATTCATTAATTTGTTCATTTGATAAGCAAATATTCTATGGATAGTATTCTATGTGACAATTATTGAAGATACTATGAAAAGAACACATAAATTAAATGCAGACTCTATTGTTAAGAAGAACATAATTATGAGAGTGTCCCTGGATCTTATCTTCTTTGCTGTAAATTTCAACCACCCATCTCACCAGTCTCATTTCTAAAAAATATGTTTTTAATTTGGTAATACAGTCACATGGTCAAAGAAACTTTAAGAAACTTTATTCATACCCTGCCCTGGTCTATTCCATCTCCACTCTGCCTGATATGAATACCCGCATCTTTTTATTCTTTTTTATTAATTTGGAATTTGTATGTGCGAATAAAAATAAATATGATTATATATTTATTATTTCCTTGTTTCTTCCATTTCATAAATAAAAGGTCACATGCTATATATAGTATGTGTACTTCATTTTTTTTTGCTTAACAATACAAAGGTGTCCCAAAAATGTATATACACTTTAACAGCTGATAGTTCAATGTTGAAAATAAAATTTATTTTAATAAACACTGCCTTTATACCTATTCAAAGTGTGTTTATACATTTTTGGGACACCCTATATCTCCTGAAAATCTTTCCCAATGAGTTCACAGGGTATTCCATTTTGAGAATGTATCATAGTTTAATTAATGCTCCAACTATGGACTGGTCCCTCTGCCCCAATTTTAGAGATTTTATATGTCCTGGCATCATTAATACATAAGCTTTTTATCAAGTAAGAGATGCTAATCTTTTCCACATGAAATTGTATTAAGTCATTTTTCTTCCATCTGTACTTTAAATGATTTATCTTAGTATAAAAGAACAATTTTGTATCCATCATCACTAAACTTCATTCTGTTTGTTTCAGTTAATCATTCCCACATTCCAACATGACTTCTTGAATCTTAATTCTATTATCAATCATATTAGCTACTCCTCCCAGATTGTTAGCATGCAAAAATTTGATGAGTGTTTTCTATTTTTATCCAAATAATTGGTCTCACTTTATCACAATAAATCTCTTTCCCAAAGGATAAGATTCCCTTCCTCATTCCTACAACTTTTCCTTCTTCCTGGTCCCCTGGTTCCATGTTACTCAGTCCTGCCTTCTCCACATCTTCTCTGTTCCCTCTCCACTCATGTTATCCATATCCTAACTTCAGAATTATCTCCTTCCCCCCTTATATCCACCTTAAAGACAATTCCCTGGACCTTGCTAACATCCTAATTTATTTTCTTCCTTTCACAGGTAAACTTCTCCAATGCACAATTTGCATTCTCTACTGATGTTGAGTTATCAGCAATTTGTCCACATGGGGCTCAAAAGCTCCCCTGACAACCTCTTGCAGTTGCTGAATAGCAGCTGCCTGCTCCTGACAGAGCCTCATTCTCACTCTCACCACAGTTCCCATTGTCTTACTCCCAACCTATGCCACTCAATGAATGTGTGACCCTTCTTTGAAGTTAACCAGGCTATTCTAAACAAATACAGCAGAGCCACTCCACATGAGCCCTTCAGAATAGTCATTGTTTCATAACATGCATGTGTTCCAATGTATGGTCATTGCCTAAAATACTTTAGCAATCTGTCTATTCTGTTTAATTTTAGTCATAGCAAATCTTTCTTTCTTGAATGGAATATTTAAATTCATATTTTAAACCAAAGTTATTTGAAAAGGTGTGTATTTTAATTTGCTAATCATGCTTTCAGTGATAAAAAAGAAAAGAAAAGAGAGAGTAACTAATTTACATTGTAAAAAATTACCTTGCAAAATTGCTTTAGAGAGCATTTCTAAAAAAAATAAAAATATTATTTGAGTAGCATAGTTTTTTTTTACAAGAAACTAGCTTAAAGACCAACAACGCTTTTAATGTATATTGTTTGGATTTTTTAAAAATAAAGTCTCTTTACTTACTTAACTGGAATCATAAAACTACCACCCCCAACTTCCCAGTGACAACTATTAAGGGAACTGAGGAGAAAAAGGCCTCTGGTCTAAAAATGTACCAGTCCCAATAGGCCTTGGCGTGGAGTTTATGAAGCTAAGGGAGCAATCACTGAGAAATGCATGGCCTGGTAACTGAGTGCTTCATATTGCCAGAGGCCCTAGAATGATCACTAAAGGGGAGGCAGGATAAAGAAAGGGCACTGACACTGCTCTACATTTTAATTTGAAAAATCATATTTTTATTGTGAAATACAATGAACTTTGAAAACTGTGAAGCAGCTAGGAAAACATTTTATCTGTTCTCTTATGGATATTTAATGTAAAGTATGAAATGATGGAACTGACCTTTAGGCATGTCATGAAGGATCTCTCTCTCTCTCTCTCTCTCTCTCTCTCAATGGAAAAGAGAGAGAGAGGAGAAAAGAATTGATGTTCACACAATAATGAAGACAATAGAGACCCAAGAGAGCCAATGGTGCAGTTCAAGTCCAGTTTAAAGGCCTGAAAAGCAGAATAGCCCATGGTGTAGGTTTCAGTCTGAGAGCCAACGGGCTTGAAACCCAATAAAATCCCGTTTTTTAGTTCAGTTCCAAAGGCTTGAAAAATAAATGTCTCAGCTCAACCATCAGGCAAAAAGAATTCCTCTTACTCAGTATTTTCGTTCTATTCAGGTCATCAACTGATTTGATGGGGCCCACCCACATTAAGGAGGGCAGTCTGCCTTACTCAGTCTACTGATTCAAATGTCTGTCTCATTCAAAAATACTCTTACAAACACACTCAGGTTAACGTTTGACCAATTGTCTGGGCACCCCACGATCCAGTGAAGTTGACACATAAAATTAACCATCATAGTACTTAAATTTTATTTATTTTTACTTTTTTAAATATGGATTTCTGACTTTCCTTGGCATCATTTAATTTGTATGGCAACACTGGAAACTCCTTCCCATGGAGTAACAAAAGGATGGAGATGAGTAGAGGTTGTCACAATCCCCAGCATTCACTTGATTTTCCTGGCTTGCCTCAGCACACATTTCAATTTGAGACCCATTAGTTTAAGCTGTATTGCCTATGAAAGCGAATGTTGGTCTTTGGGAAGGGTGTGTGTGTGTGTGTGTGTGTGTGTGTGTGTGTGTGTGTGTGTGTGTTTGTGCATGCACGCACGCATTCCAATAGTGATTATTTTAGACAATGAGAAAAACTAAGAGGCATATACATACATTAAATTAATGGAAAGACCTCAAAGGAGAACTAAAACCAAGGTGCACATGGCCACCCCAATTAGTTCTAAAGGATTTGAAATACTAAGCTCCTTCTCCTGTCCTCTGACTATCCTGAGGTGCAGAGAGAAACAAAAGCCACCCCAGACTGTGTTCCTGGAACTCCTGGGGTATTACTCTAGACTAAGTAATGCAGCCACAAGAACATGTTATGTTTTGGAAAAGGAAATAGATCTTGAGAAAGGATAATAAATCCTAGAGCTTTTGCATTGACTGAAATAGAAGTGATTCTGAAAGCAAATAAATACCCTAAGAGATTGGTTACTATGCACATTTTTAAAACATTGATTTCTCAATCCTTAATTTCAGATAAATATTGGCTGTTTCTTAATGCTAAGAGGCATAAGTAAAGATTAAGCACTGAACCAGAGAGCAGTTTTGGGCTAACGGGAAAGAAATTCAAACTCCATTTCAAAGTGTTGAATCCAAGTACTGAATCAATTTATCAATGGTTTCTACCTATCTGGGCACCTGGGTTCCTCTAACGCCTCCTCCCACTATTCACCAGTAACCTTTCAGATGAACTTTGATATGCATCATTTTG